CCAACAAGCTCAATAGTTGATAAAATTATTCAATAAAAAATTCATTGCAAGTTGCTAAACATGCCTGGGAAGCCAGGTAAATTAGCCCCTGGGGAGCTTCTGCTGGTGCGAGAGAAGAGCTAGCGTGGATGTGTCAGTAGCACAGTGCTGACGTTGGTGTGGATTGCGGACGTATCCTTGGTCAGTTGATACAAGGTGTTTGCTCTCTTTGCTATTGATGCACAACGCCCTATTACTATGGACATCTTTGGCTGTGTTGGCATTGCTCAAGACATCTGTCCCCGTGATCAGTCCCCAGTCCATAGGAAAGGTGTCCTCTGTGTCATATAAGGCTATGTGAGGGTGATGACATTCTTCATTCTCAGTCAGTAGTATAGATGCAGCTTGCATAAAAAGTTGGCCACTCCCTGCAGTGTCCTAACGCGATAAGCCTTCAGTGTCGCTATGACAGAATCACAGGATGGTGGATGTTGGAAGGAACCTCTGGAAGTCACCTTGTCCAACTCCCATGCTCAAGCAGGGCCACCTAGGGCCACTTGCCCATGGCCATGTCCAAATAGCTTTTGAATATCTCCAGGGATGGAGAGTCCACAGCCTCCCCGGGCAACCTGTGCCAGTGCTCTGTCACCCTCACAGTGAAAAAGTGTTTCCTGGTGTTCAGAGGGAACCTCCTGTGTGTCAGTTTGTGCCCATTGCCTCTTGTCTTGTCACTGGCACCACTGAAAAAAGCCTGGCTCCATCCTCTACGAACCCTCCCCTCAGGTATTTATGTACATTGATAAGTTTTCCCCTGAACCTTCTCTTCTCCAGGCTGAACAGTCCCGGCTCTCTCAGCCTTTCCTTATAGGAGAGATGCTTCAGTCCCTCAGTCATCTTAGTGGCCCTTTGCTGGACTCTCTCCAGTAGGTCCATGTCTCTCTCATGCTGGGGAGCCCAGTGCTGGACACAGTGCACTCCAGGTGTGGCCTCACCAGTGCTGAGTCGAGGGGAAGGATCGCCTGCCTCGACCTGCTGGCAATGCTTTGCCTAATGCCGCCCAGGGTACTGTTCACCTTCTTCACAGCAAGGGCACGCTGCTGGCTCATGTTCAACTTGGTGTCCACCAGGACTCCTAGGTCCTTTTCTGCCAGGTTGTGTTCCAGCTGGGTGGCCCCAGCTGGGTACCATCTTGGCAATATGCTCAGTTGTCAACTGGGAACTCGGGACGCTGCATTCGGAAGCTGAAGCATCCCAGTCGCTGGTTAAGCAGTTTTTGTGTATGTCCTGGAGACGGGCAGCGATATTTTGAAGGAAACGTGCAGGGTGTTCCTTGACATTTTTTGGAATGCCTACAAGATGTGCATTAGCATCTCGTAATTTAATACCCAATAAAGACTGAAATATATTCTTTGGAAGAATAGCTCTAACTGGAAGAGAAAATTAAAATGCTTCTTTCATCATTTTATAATTGGAAATCAACCTGACCTAGGAGCATGAATTAAAGAGAAATTTTTATTAAGATGGTTTTGTCCTCACAGTTCACAGTGAAGCAGAACTTTCCCATGCACATCAGCGCTTTTTTGTGTTTGATCAGAAAGGGGGCTGGGGGAGGGGCCCCCAGTCGTCCCTGCCAGTCTTCCTTCTTGTTCTCAGTAACATTCATCGGCTTTGCCAACAGGTAAGTCCTTTCAAGTCCCAGGAAGAGATAAGAACCTGTAGAGTTTTGAATCTTGCCACCAGCCTTAATGAAGTTGCGTAATTGTGAAAAGGTCGGTCATTTTTTGTCATTGATCTTGCTGACATGAATTCATGTTGATCAGGTAGATTTTTATATTACCAGATCAATAAATGCCCACATCCAGGATTTCTGTATGGCATATACTTCAGGAGACCAAGTAAACCAGGTCTTTCCTTTGGTGCTTTTGATCACGTACAGGTTTTTTTTATGGTTAAATTAACAGTGGATAACAAGTTCTTGTACTTGAGTTTTCAGTAACAGACGTATCCCAACCCTGCAGGTGCACAAAGTATATTGTGAAGCGTTTGTTATGATGATGGCTCTAATAAGGTTGCCCGTTGTTTCACTGCAGTTTGCTTTTGCTGTACAAACACCAGCTCTTGCTAAGATGGAAGTGCCTCAGCTGCACTTTGCCTTTGTCGCCAGTGCTGAAAAGGGAAATTTTGGAATCACAGAATGCTTTGGGATGGAAGGGACCTCTAAAGGTCATCCAGTCCAACCCCCTGGACCCCTGGACCCCTTCTGCATATGTTGCCTAATTTCATTTCTGCAGTTTAAAGCTGAACAGGTCCTGAGCCAAATTCATCCGTAGCCAATCTTTCATTCCCTAGCAGTCTAAGCTCACCTTTCTCCATACCTTCTGAAATGCCGGTCATGTCCCCTTCCATCTGCACTGCACTGGCCTCTTTCACCATGGTGTCTCTGCTTCTGTGTCTGGCACAGCACCTTTTCGATCAGTCCCTTCTGCTTTGTTTTGGGTGAAATGCGTGTTTTCTGGACTCAGGCTTGTACCAGCCATTCCCTTGGCTGAGCGACATCAGCTCCCGCTCTGCCTTGTGCTGATGTAAAATGGCTCTGAACCCACAGTCGTCTTTCCCACTGGCAGCTCAGCCCTTCCTAGGAAAGCAGATCCCCCCTCCTCAGAAGGGAGAGGCTCTCTCTGTAATAACCAGCTGGCCAAAAGAGGTGATGATCCTGCTGTATTCAGCGTTGGTGTGGCCTCACCTTGAATACTGTGTGCAGTTCTGGGCCCCCCAATTTAAGAAGGTTGTTAAGGTCCTTGAATGCGTCCAGAGGAGGGCAACAAAGCTGGTGAAAGGGTGGGAAGGCATGTCCTACGAGGAGCAGCTAAGGACTTCGGGCTTGTCTAGTTTGAAGAAAAGGAGGCTGAGGGGTGACCTCATGGCTCTGCAGCTTCCTGAGGAGGGGACGTGGAGAGGGAGGTGCTGAGCTTTCTCCCTGGGATCCAGTGATGGGACACATGGGAATGGTTCAAAGCTGCACCAGGGGAGGTTTAGACTGGACATTAGGGAGCATTTCTTTACCAAGAGGGTGGTGAAACCCTGGAGCAGGCTTCCTAGAGAGGTGGTCGATGCCCTAAGCCTGGCAGTGTTTAAGAGGCATTTGGACAATGCCCTTAACAACATGCTTTAACTTTTGGTCAGCCCTGAAGCAGTCAAGTGGTTGGACTAATGATCATTGTAGGTCCCTTCCAACTGAAATGGTCTGGTCTGGTCTGGTCTGTTCCCCTCGGAGGCAGCATCCCTCCTTTGGCAGGACACGGTGATGGATTCGCTGTCACTGAAGCAGCAGCGTCTGTAGCGCTGGTGGCACGTGGGACGCTTCCTGGCAGTCTGCTGTCTGTGTTGCTGAAAACAGCCATGCACGTGTGTGAGCAGCCCAAGGCCAAGCTGGATGGCACCGCTGCCTCTGCTGATACCAGCATGCAGTTTTTGACAGCGCCTTTGCTGAGCGCTTCTGTTCCCGCTAAACCAAGCATTTGGAGTGGAGGCATCTTGGTGGATGCAGTTCCTCGGCTTCTGTTTCACAGGAGGTCGTTCTGAGTGGCAGAAAAGCCCTTTTTGGCTTTAAAACCTGTGGCTCTGCAAGCTTTCCCATCAGCTAAATATAACTCAAGAATTGCTCCTGACTCTCATGAGCACTGGGAGATTGCTTCAAACAGAAGTGACTTGGTCGTGCAGGATGCGAGCGCAGGGCTTTGCCACACAGCCAGCATATCCATACCCTAGGTTTTTTTCCTTATTTCATTTCCATGTATTAACATAGAGTTTAGTTGGTTTGTGTTTTGTCTGGTCAGGAAAAATCCACATTCTATAGGATGCTAGCTTTGGGAAGTTTCTCCTCTACTTGTTGCTTCTCGTACCACAGGAGCGTGCGGCTCAGTCATAGCCCGAGGGGCATCCCGTGCTCTGAGCCCCCCAGGCAGCCCAGGGCAGCGCTGCCTGCACGCGGTGCTGCTCCCTGCACAAGTGTTTTAGGTGGTATTTAGCCAGGATGAGACATCCAGACTGATGAAATCCATTCTGTACTTCGCTTTTGACAGCTAATGCAGTTTCAACACTCATTGTGATACAGCCTGTAGAAGATAGGTATGAGTATGTTGCTTCTGGTGAGGACGGGTCTAGCTCTAGTGTTTTAGTATTTCTAGCAAGGAAGAGTTGCTTGAAGTGCATGAGAGTCTACAGAAATAGCTCATGCAAAGCCTTCTGTCGTCCTCAACTGGAGGTGAAATGTTAAAAAAAATTGAAATAACTAAGATCACTCCATGGCTAAGCTGTCCATCCCCATATGGTAGATACATACTAAACCAAAAGATGAAGTCCTCCTATATTGCGGGGATCCATTTCTCACCCCCAGCGAATCCATTGTGAGTGGGTTGATTTACAGATCTCAGGAGAGAGTTTGATAAAAAGACATGTTATTCTCCTAGGGTAGGTAAGCTTAGCTTGGTTTAACACAGACACTAGTACGTTTTACAATTTTCTGCATTTAAATTGTTTAACTGTAAGATGCAAATCAATGCCCACCCCCCCATACTTGGGATTATTTTCGTTTTCTCTTGCTTAGATGATGTCTCCGAATGTTGTGTGAAATGTCGTCTGTCCTCTGCAGGGTAGTCATAAACTGAAGGGATTTTTTTTTTCAGTCTTACTGTGCATGCTGCTGTTGCGTTCTGCCTGCAGCCTTCTGGCGAGCCAGACAGTTTTTGAGACTTGGATTCATCTAGGTTCAGGCATCTAAATGTAATACCAGGTCAGAGCCGGCCAGCTCGATTCCTCTGCTGGTGAGCGGAGTGGGGGAGAGGTGCGTCCAGGGGCGAGTCTGCCATTGCTAAAACTGATCAAGACGAATTCCGTCCTTCCTGTCAAATGCATGTTGCTGTTAATGTATTTTAATGGATTCAAGGGATCTCTTTATGCTCTCTGGATTTTTGTTTCTCGTTTTTATCTTGACAGTAACACAGATTCTTTTCTCTTTCCAGGGTGACTGTTGGATCTGTATGGAGCTCATGTCTACCTCGTTTGATAAGTTTTACAAATATGTATATAGTGTATTAGATGATGTTATTCCAGAAGAAATCCTAGGCAAAATCACTTTAGCTGTGAGTATTTTGTTAACCCTTTTTGTGTATGTTTTTGAAGCTAATGTGAAAAATTAAGATCTCTTTCACGCACATGTGAGAAAGCCGGTCGATCTGCATGCAGCAGAACTGCTGCTGTTGTATTGCATCATGGTTTTAATGATCCTTGAGTATACTCTTGACTTTCTCATAGCATATTGCATGGCAGAAAAGAGGGTCCTGGGGTCTGTAATTAGTTCATAAAGAGACCCCAGACCAGCCTCCTGCTCTGTCTGCTTGAACATCGGTGCTGACAGCATCGGCACCAGCCCCTCCTCAGGGATTGCTTCATGTGCACTGGTGGTGGCATCAGTGGAAGCTGGGCGCAGGTCGTCTCGTCCCAAGGACGGTGCCCAGAATAGATCAGCTGTCTCCCCTTCCCTTGTTCGTAAAGGAAACAAGGGATTGGGCATTTATAGCCAGGAGATGTGAACCCCACCAAACTGTTTTGAGAATAAGGGTCTGGTCTCAGTGAGTTGCCTACCCTCTCTCTCCAGTCAGTGGGGAGAGGTTGGTGCCTCTGTATGGGAGCTGAGTTCCCATCTCGTGGTGCTTTAGGTGGTGAAGCGAAGTGAGATGAATCCCACCCAGGGCACCTGAGTGCGGCTGTGCTACATGGAGCCCACTGTCTCCCTTTAAGGAGCCCCATAAAATTATCCTTGGCTGTGCCAAAATGAACCCTTCATTGTCTAAACACAAGGGCAAGTTTTGGCCCTGCAAAACAAACTTTTGGTTTTGGGCTGTGGAGGAAGGGGTGTTGAAAGGTATCCCGAAACCTCTGTTGTGCTGCTGCCCGTAAAGATCTGTCAGGTCCATTGGATTTCTGCAGGGGATGCTGGGCCACTCCAGTCCAGAGAAACCTCTAGTAGCCTTGTGCAAAGGCTCCCAAAAGTACAAGTGGGCCTTCAGCAGGTGGAGAACCTGGCTGATGTTTTCTTGACCTAACCTGGAAGTCCTGGCCCAATAAAAAATCAAGGCTGAGCCAAACAAATTAGTTCAGCGAGGCTGCTGGAAGATGAAAGGCTGCAGAAGTGAAGCACCATTTGGGAGTAACAGGGGGAAATGTGAGCGAACGCTGGAGCCGTGCCATGTTGGTGACAGACGGGCAAACTGGCTCTGTATTGGCTTCAGCACGTGAATGCTGCAGTAAGCTGGTGTCCCGAGCTGTCAGAGTGGTGGGGAGCTGCTCAGCAAGTTGCAAACCATGACCTCTTGAAAAGATATGAGGAAATTCTGCTCAGGGCCTGATCTTGGGAGAAGATCATCTTCGCTCTTCTTAGGGGCATCTTTATAAAATGTTGAGCGTACCTGGACCTGCTTCCACTTCTTAGAGCTAACAGGCTGCCTTGACAGCTCAGGCACTGTCATGTGTTTAGATGTTTATAGCCACGACTGAAAATCCTATCAAAGGTAGCCAGTGGCTGTTGTGCAGCCCATGGAGTGCATGGTCTTCCACCAACCAACTAGATGTATTACTGGCCAAAGCAAGGCTTGAGACATAGACAAGAGATGGCTGGGTAAGGTCTGTCCTTCCAGGGTCATCTGCTTGGAGTTATATGTAATTCTGTGGGGGAAGGAAAAGGAGATCCTTTCTTCTGGGGTTTGCAGGGTATTAGCGACACACTGGCCCACATTTTGACTCAGGCAGACCTTGCAAGGTGTTTGCTGATGAAGATAGTTTGGACAGAGACTTGAGATGAGTTTTGAAGCTCTCAAAGGGAGTTTCTCTACTTACCCTGTGCAGACAGCACGCTGTGAAAGTGCACCAGAGCTTTAACTCCTAGCCAGGGAAATGACCACCTTTGGATGTTTCTGACCTGGGGGTGAGGGACGGACTGAGTAAGCTGAAATTTTCCGTACCTGATCCATGGCCCACAACAGATCTGGGGATGTGAAGCCCAGCTGCGCTGTGCGGGAGGTCGTGGGCTGCTCGTCGAACACCGCTCTCCTTCATTGCACCTGAAGGCAGCCCGGCCCCAGCAGCTCTTGAGGGAGGTCCGCTGCACAGGCTGCCTTTAGGAACTGAGACAGGTTCTGACTAGATCTTGTGATCTGAGGTTTGTTTCTGTCCACCTTTTTCTAGAAAACAAAGTGAGGAACAGTGTTTAATATCTCTGGTATGAGAATACTGGCGATGAGTATCTTAGACCTTGAGGGCCTCCAGGTCCAGAAGGTCTACGTGCGCACTGCCCTGGTAGCCCCATCATGTGCAGGTGGGGTACGTGCTGTAGCTCACAGCTCGGTGTGCTCCGCCAACCACCCTTCCTTTCATGTCAGAGCTCTTTTACCCCAGGTTGAAGAGCTGTGAGCTTCTGCTTCACCCACTTGAGGGTAGGGGCAGGAGCTTCTGGCAGGGCCAGCTGAGATTTAAACCAACATTCAGTCACTAAGTCCAGCAAGCTTCCTCTTGCTGAAGCTCAGGTCCAAGGTGGCCATCCAGTCTCATTCCACTATGGGCCTGCCTAAAAATCAGTTGATGCTTTGTTGTTCAGAGAGATGTAGCAGCTTCTGCTGCCGGAGCAGAAACCTGCACTGGAGCAGCAAGGTGGGCAGCGAGGAGGAGACAGGACTTCAGCTGCCCCAGAGCCTGCCAGGGCTTTTAATTACCAAAGCACTTGAACATGGGATTGTGTGAGCAGGAAGGAACGGGCTCTGGGGAGTTGTTCCTTGGTGCTAGACTTCATCCTTACGGTCGCACAGCTTCTGAGTGCTTTGCAACACCCTCTTACCGTCATCTTCAAGGCGGTCTTTTGGCCATTGGTTTCAATGGTCTTTTCAGCAGAAGCGAAGTGAATTAAAATGGTGAACTTTCAGGGTTTTTTTAATCGTCCTGTGAAATCAGGCTCCCTAAGTGTCTCTTCCATTTAATGGTGAATGGTTAAATCAGAACAGCCTCTGCTGCTCCCCACACTGCTGCTGCTCAGCCAGTGGAATGGGAACAGTTGTTACCTACTGAAAAAGTATGGCATAGGGCTTGAAAGAAGTTATTACTCAAGATAATTAACATCAGAAATATTGCTTGACTTCACCTCTTGCTCCCCTCTCCCGTAGTGTGATCTTTCCAGGTTTCAACAAGTGCTGTGTGTTTGCTTATGCACGTGCCCTCTCTTATGTCACCTCTGTTTGCAGGAAAGATTGGGAGAAAAATGCTTTTATTACATGGCATATTACAGCACTGATATCTCAACATATTAAATGTTTTTTCCCCCTTCTTGGAGCTCCAAAATTTTAATAATCACAAGAATCTTATGACATTTGCTTATTTTTCATCTGTTTTTCTTTCCTAGACTGTGAAAGCACTAAACCACTTAAAAGAAAACTTGAAAATCATTCACAGAGGTGAGTTCATGTCTTTTCTTCTTGCCTACAAAAATAATTCCAAGGATTTTAAGTGGCCTGTGCTTCAAGTCAAAGTGTAATTAGCACGTGCACTACCGTGAGTGTGAGTACAGGTTTTGCACAAGTGTGTCCCCAGTGGCTGTTTCATTGCCCCTTCGGTCCGTGGTTTTCCATAAAAGCGTGATTTCAAGGTGGTTGGGTGTCTGCCTCTGCCTCCAGGCACGTGGCGTCTTCGGGGCTGGCTCCATCTCCTCTTGCTCCCGGTCAGGATCCTCAGCGGTGGCCAGCGCATCCAGTCGCCGCCCGCCTGCCCCACCTCAAGCGGCGATGGCGATGGCACAGCAGTGCCGGTGTCGATTCCCTGCAGCTGCTGTTCTTGAAATTGAAAGCTCCACCCGTGACTTACTAGTTTAAATTTCTTTCCCTTGCAGACATCAAACCTTCCAATATTCTTCTGGACAGAAATGGAAATATTAAACTCTGTGACTTCGGCATTAGCGGACAGCTTGTGGACTCCATTGCCAAAACGCGGGATGCGGGGTGCCGGCCGTACATGGCGGTGAGTGGGGATGAGCGGGGCAGCGGGGAGCTGGCATGCCCGTGGGCTGTGCAGGGCCTTACCCTCCTTCTGCAGGCCTGGCTCAGCGTGGCCGTGCCTGGCGTCCGACTGCAGTGTCAGCCTGCTTCCCATGGGATGAGCACCCCCTTCCCAGATGAAACTGAGCTTTGGATTGAGCACTGCTGCTGGCAGCGTCAGCAAAGGCTTCCAGGCTGTGGCAAAGTGACTGAATTCTCTTTTTTTTTGCTGGGTTCCTCTGCGGCGCTGGAGCGGAGAGCTTCTCTGTGCCTTTCAGCAGCGCCCGCTCACGCTCCAAAACAAACAGCGCACGGGGGAGGCGGTGCCGTCTGGGGGCAGGGTTTTCTTGGTCTGCAAGAAATCCATTTGCTACGGTAAGATTATGTCACAGGAGTTATTGCGGAGCAGAATTACAGTGATTTTTGCAAACCACTTTAATTCCAAAGTGTGCCATAACTTAATTCCAGGAGAATGTGATTCTGGAGAGCAGTGGTGGCAGAGCAGCTGCGTGGAAATCGCTGGGGCTGAGCTGTGGCTCCTGGGAGTCTGTCCTGCTTGTTTGCTTCCCTCCCCCTCCCAGGGAGAAAAGCTGTGGGGGTGATTTTCGAAGCTGTCAGAGGGTTTTAAACACTTCTGTGCACCAGGCTGCTTTGAAAATGCATCTCTTGGTTTCACGTCAGCTGAGGGCGCCTTGCGCAGGGAGCTGTGTGTCTGCTGCTGTCAATGTAACTTTAATTTCAGTGGCTGTGTTGAACCCTTGTTACTTATCTTATGGCTCTATATGCTGAAAAATAGTGTTTTCTGAACTCTTTTATCTACCACCAAGCAAACAAAAAAGGAAAATCTCTCTCTTTTAAGGTACGGTGCCCATCTGGTCCAGGTAATGGCTCTGATACGGCTTTTATCTGACTGTGGTGTCCAAGGCGAAACCTGTCTGCCCTGACCTGATCTTAGTCTCAAGCACAGAGTCTGAGTTTTGGAGCATTTGGCCTTTTCTGTTCACTGTCCTCATAGCAGAGCTAGTTACTCAATGAGCTGGAAAGGAGAGTACAGATGAGATCTGTGATGGGAGCCCAGTGCGGTGGTACAACAAAGTGTGCGCAAGCCCCCGAGCCGCGTAACGTAGTGAAACGGGGCGGTTCGCTTCCATAAAGACCTCGTGAGGCCGGGGAGAGGGCAGAGGCACGTCTCTGCTCGGAGCACTCTTGGCAAGGGCGGGGAGCTCCCCGCAGGGAAGAGGATCAGTCGGAGCTGCCCCGTTTGCTGTGTCGGTGGGGCACAGGATGCTGCGGGCAGCAGAGGTGCCCCGGGAGGACACGGGAGCCGGTGCAGTCCCAGCTGGCCTGACCCCAGGCTGGGTGTTTGCGTCTCAGACTGCAGGCACTTCTGATAGCCTCGCTCTGTGGAGTTATGACTGTTGTTGCCTTTTCCCTGTCCTCTGAGGTGCGTATTGGGTCTGTAAATAGGGCTCTTGAAAAATTGCTCACTCCTTTCCCCCTCCCAAGTTCGGTGGGCTGTAATTACAGGAATTAATGTTCCCACTTTTGCTTACAGCCGTGGGTAGATGGTTAGCTGTGCGCAGGCTGTTGGTTTAGTTACGACGTGACAGTTACCGGCATGTCTGTAAATAGCTGCGCTGCTTCCTTTCCCCTGGGGCTTGAGTGGGTGGGTGCTTCCCATAGCCCCTTGTCGTTCCTCCCTCTCTGTGCATATCCACTCTGCTCTCTGTGCATCTCCATCACCAGACTGTGCTGAATTTTTAAGCGAGCAAAAGTGTTTCGATTCAGTTTGTGATTTTAAGAGCCTTGGCATGGTGTGTGTTTGTGGGCCGAGCCAGCAGCTGGCAAGCGGTGTGGGAGACGGCTGGCCTCTTCCCTTCGGCTCTCCGGACTCAGTGACTCCTCTCCAAGTACATGAGCATTTCCACGTACTGAGAGGCCTGGGAAATGGGGAGATGTCCCCAGCATGCAGGCACATCTGCCAGCTCTTCCTCCAAGCCAGCAGATAGCTGTAGTGATGCTGTGATCAAATCTCAGTATACCTGGGAGGGAGTCAGGCCAGTCACATTCCTTTCGAAAGGAAAATATTTTGTTTGGGTGCAAAATAGGTGACTATTTTTGGTGCAAAATAATGTGACTGTGTTCAGCCAGGGCAGGTCTGATAAGGACTGCTGGATGACGCTCCCTGACGATGAGAGCGTGTTGTTCTGCAAGGCCCACTTGGCCCGTGGCACTTGCAGTAATTCTTGTAGCATGAGCACTTGCTCACCGAAGGAACCTGATAACGCCGTGTGCACTGGAGCTGGGTCCCCAAATAGCTGTTGATAACAATAACATTGGATGTCGGCCCGTTTGACTGATCAGGCTGCAGGAGCCACGTCCAGCTGCTAAGCAAGCGCTGGGTGGTTTAACCAAAATTGTTAGAGGTGTCACAGAAAGCAGCGTGTCAGCCTTGGAGCTGCCGGCGCTGGAGAAGTTGTTTTGCTTTTGACTTTGAATTCCCCTGAGATCGTTACATTGAAGTAAAGGCGTACATGTTGGTGCCTTGTGTTCTCTGAAAGAAAGAAAGGAAAGACGGAGCCCCCGCACTGCCCCAGGCAGCAGCCTGCCCTGGAGAGCCCTCCGAGACCTGTGCCACTGCCAGCAGCGTGGGTTTGCTCTAGGTGGGGTTTCACAACATGCTCAAGGCAGCCTTAAACCAGCAGTGGGGGTGCGATTGCTGCCAGCCAGCCCCTGGTCCTCCCCGCCTGCTGCTCCCCAGCAGTCCCTGCGTTGCCTCCCGCTGTGGCAGGTGCTGCCGATTTGGATGGGAGGGAAGGCTCTGTGTGCTACGCTGAAGCTGGTGGTCTTTGTGGCATTACTGCTTCTTAACGCTCAAGTGAACCCAGCTTCTGTGTCAGAGGGGAGGGATGAGACTGGAAGCTCCTGGTTTAGGTAGGGGAGGACCCAGTCAGCGTGAGGATGGATGTCCTGCCCTGCCCTGCCCCTTTGGGACCTCTCCAGGGGCAGAGTTTGATGGTGTCACACATGTCCGTGGTCCCTTTTCCCAGGTACCCTGGGAGCTGCCTGCTGCAAGCTGCGGCTGTGCCCATGTGCCAGTGCCCTGCGCCGCTTCGCCCACCCTCCCTGGGCTGCCCGCTCGGCTCTCCCTGAGGAGCTGTTGAGATGAGAAGGTGGGCAAGGGGATGCACGGTACAGAGCAGCCTTCTTGGTGCTAATGTAGACCTGTGTCCCAGCAAACACACTTCTGCTTGTCCCTGCCTGTGCGTGAATCGAGGGCCAGCGCAGAGCCCCGGCGCTGCAGTGCCGCTGCAGACCAGCGCTCGGGATGTGTTTCCTGCCCCTCATTTCTCCCCGGCGAAAATGGGCAGCCGCTGCTGGCATCGGCGTTCAGGGCCGGGTGGAGGCTGCGTCCCCGCGCTCGGGTGGCTCATGCCCAGTTCAGGCCATGTGTGGAAAAGGAAAAATTCCCAAGGCAGGTGACAGTGACGAGTCTGAGCCCTGCTCCCCCGGCCTCCCTGCGCACGCAGAGGGAGAGGCTGCAGGGACGCGGGAGCTCTCTGAATCCTTTACCCAAGCAGAGCTGCAGCAAGAGCCTCTGTTTCAGCTTTGCATTCCTGACCCAATGCCCAAGATTTCATCAGTCTCAGTCATTCATTTATCTGAACGGGCAGGCTGTTGGTTTGAATTCATGCAGCTAAAATCCTCTTGGATGCTCCTGAATATTGCTGTGTGTTGGACTTTTTTTTTTTCTTTTTTTTTCCCCCCCCTGAAACTTGGCACCCAGCCATAATTTTTACGACTGAGAAAACAAATTTGGTAGGAGACTGGGAGACATGTGGCACCGTCCCTCTGCGAGCAGTGCAGACTGGATCCAGGCTGTGCCGCCCGCAGCGTAGCGAATGCCGGGGGAGATGCCTGAGCTCTGAGCGCAGCCCTCCCCGCTCACGTGCTGCTGCTGTCACCCGCATGCTTCAGGGGTTTCGGCTGAGAACATAACCTCCACTTACTCATCCACCGGCTAAAATTGTCCGTGGGGTTCGCCCAGCGTGGGACTTCTCCTGTCCAAACTTAGCTCCTTACATCAGGCGGCGCAGAGCCCGTGCCGAGCAGCTCTGCTGCAGGACTGAGCTCCTGTCCGTGCATCGGCGCTTCCACCCCCGTTCTGCTGGGGATGCGGTGGGAATGGATTTTCCTCCTCACCCGTTTAGATGCTTGTCTGCACAGGCAGTTTACATAAACCTGGGGAAAGCTGTCAGCAGCCGCCTGTGTAAACGGACCGTTTGGCCAGAAGTATTGCGGACAGGACGTGAGTTCTGTGGAGGAGAATATTAAAAGGCAGAAAAAAGTCGTTTTGTCCACTAGGATTTACATGGGAAGTGCCTAAAAGTCAGGTCTGGGAGATAGCTGCCCTTGGGAGGCGTTGGAAGTTCAGCTGGAAACAGCAGGCAGCTCCTGCTTGCCACGGGCTTGCTCTGCGTGGGACGTGGCTGGCTGTGCTGGGGCGGCCCAGGGTAGCCCCTGCTGCCGTGATTAGCTACAAGAAGGCTAATTGGAAGCCACAGACAGCAGAACGTGATCATCAGGGCAGTGAAGATGCAGAGGAATGGGCAAGGCTCCTTAGGGCAGGGTCAGGTGTGGGGAGAGGGAGCGAAGGGTTGTGCAGGTCCCAGATGTGAGCCTCCTGCCCTCCCTCAGCCGGCTGGGCTCAGGCGGGTGAGGCTGGGGGGATTCCGCTTCAGGAGGACCCACGGGGATTTGCAGGGGGACTCTCCACCCTGGGCTGAGCCTTTTCCTACCAAGCGTGGGAGCACCCTGCACGCTGGCCACAGGCTCGGCGCAGGCCGGGGGCTGCTGGAGCTGCTGCCCTGGCACCGCTGTCTGGATGCAACCGAGTCCGGCCTCCACCTCCTCCATCCGTTCCCTGCTGTTGCAGCGTGACCCTCGGTGGCGGAGCAGGCAGGGCACGAGGGCCATGGCAGG